CTGTTACCAGAATCTGACAAGGACTTTTGAGAGGAAAAGAACATTTTTAAATATAAAATACTCTAAAAATGTTTCTCTTTTTCTTTTTTGGGGGAGAGGGAGGACAGAGTTTCTCTATTGTTGCCCAGGCTGGAGTGCAATGGCGCTACCTCTGCTCACCGCAACCTGTGCCTCATGGGTTCAAGTGATTCTCTTGCCTCAGACTCCTGAGTAGCTGGGATTACAAGCATGCACCACCATGCCCAGCTAACTTTGTATTTTTAGTAGAGAAGGAGTTTCTCTATGTTGGTCAGGCTGGTCTTAAACTCCTAGCCTCAGGTGATCCTCCTGCCTTGGCCTCCCAAAGTGCTGGGATTACAGGCATAAGCCTCTGTGCCTGCCCCTAAAAACATTTTTAAAGAAACAAAACAATTTGAAACATAACCATGAAAATCTAGATTCAGAACTCTATCATATGTTTGTGTGTGTGTGTATATATATATATGTATTTCTTTGTAAATGTTTTTAGAAAAAAATTCTTTTAACAAATTTAATCACAAAGAACTATAATTAGAACTTTCCATGGGTAGTACTCCCCAGGTAATAGCAGCATACAATTTCAGTTCTCCCACAGATGATGAGGGGCAGAATTCTCCCTCTCCTGGAAGCCTACGTGTGCCACTTACTATAACTTCCCATGGCCTTTGCAGGAAAATTACATGGGTCAAAGAAGTAAAGATTAGCACTTTTCTTTCTCCGAGTATTCTCAGGTGATTGACCCCCAAGTTTTCAGTAACAAACAGGTGTGGAATAATCTTTTGGTGAATTTGATCCTATTCTAATTTGTGTCATAAAACTGAAACATGTTAGTATTTTACTCTTAGAACATCTAGACTTAGTAACTCACAAGAGACTTTTTTGTATATTCTACGTGAGCATTTCTCAAAATATAATCCCATCCTTGATTACAATTACCACTGATGTTTTTTATGATATCAGCCCAGACCTGTGGACTCAGAATCTTGTAGATGAATAGGAAGGAGGGATATGTGTTTTTACGTTACGAGTATTTGAGTTTGGGAAACACAGTTTAATGTAATGACACCTAACACATGGCACATGTGCTTCAGTTTCCTTATTGTGCATCTGTTGCAGACATTACTAATTGATCACAGAAGTCTTTCCTACGGAGCTAATATAAAGCCACACAAGCCTACTCAACATTGTGCCTAAAGAGCTGTTTGGCGTGCATGATAAAAGCCTCTCCTGGAACTGTTCTATACCGACATTGCTATTAGGCAATATTGTCTTTAGGAACACAGCTAAGAATTTAGAGATAAACACTGATGTTCTTTAAATTGCAAAGAGAAGTCAGAAAATTTCTGCACAAAGTATTGATATAAGGCCTAGAGCAGAGTAGAAAGCAAGTCAGAAACTATGAGTTGTCAGCTCTGGAAATCACATTCATAGTAACAAAAAGCAATCATTGATAGAAGAAAACGTAAACAGAAGATATAGTCATTCAAAGGAGACAGTTGGATGAGGCCATTAAATAGTTCCTTATGATTCCACTTCGTAAGTTCTGAAGGCTTAAATATGGATGGCACAAATTATGTTCATAATTATGACCCACAATACGCAGAAAAGAATTAGTCTTAAAAGGGGCCTGTGCAAATGAGAGGCCCAAAAATTGACCTTTTCATACATTATGTTTAAGGCATTATTGTTTTAGAAAGTTCCCTAACAAAGGAAGCTAAAGTAAGAGAAGTGCTTGAAATGCAGGTTAATAGCTAATTGATAATATTAATTGGAAAAATTTTCAATCTTAGGATTTCAGATACTAATTTTTGCTATTCATATTTACTTTGTTTTATTCTCCTATTATAATAGTATTTATTGAAGACCTTAGTAATAATCACATTTGTACATTATCTTGACATCATGCCCTACTTATAAAATTGAACTTCTTGCAATGTAACTCTACTTTTATGTAGTCAATTTAGACTTATATCCGGTGATTTACTGTCAAATAATTCTTATTAAATGCCATTTTTCCATTTGTATTCAATACATTTCATAATTTATGTTAAGGGTGATAATTTCTAAAACAGTACATCAAAAATATAAAAACAAATATACTTATTGCTTTTCTGATAACTTCACAGGGCTAAGATCTGTAAATCCTCACTCTATGTGGTATAAAAATGGTCATTTATGGATATTCTAAACCAAATAAATTATTCTACAAAAATGGTTTTGGTCATTCTTTAAAAACATATTTATCATGTTAACAATTAATACATAATCATAAAATCTAGTTAATATTTTATGTATTTTAAAAATGTAATCATTGTGGAAATCTGTTTTCCCATTTAAAAGATCACCTTATTTTCTATATAAAATATTAATAAAATTTATTGTTTTACAGGAATATGTCAGCCTGATAGACTAAGGAAGGGGCTTCAGAAACGTTCTTTAAGGGAATTGCTTGTGATGAAACACACCGTTAATTTTATGGCCAAATTAAAGCAATTTTTTACCATATCAATTCCAAATTTACTCTTTTTTCTTAATGGAATATTTGAAACAAGCACTAAACATGGAAACAGGAGGTACGACTTCCAGTCTTGCCTTATGTTAGGTTAATTATTATTATAAAGAAAAATTATGTGCTCAACTAAATTGGGCATAGTTGTTCATGTTCATATTCTATGAACAACTGAAAACAAGTACTTACCATATGTAGATACACACACACATATGTTTATGGGAAGAAAAATCTTGAAATGGACTGGTTAAAATAAAGACACAGATTTTTAAAGATCACTGTAACTCAGATTTGCAATATGAACATTTAACTATTTCATTGACAATGATAAAGATTCTTGCCACCTTGTAAACCATTGCATCAAGAATCACAACAGTGTTTCATTTAAAAGCAACCTAAGGTAGGAAAGAGCACTGAGTGTGTCTCTAGACTCTAATTATGATTTATTAAAAGCAACATTTTAACAATTCTTATTTAACAAATTCCAGAATATCTGATTCTCCTTAAACTTTAATATAAATTATCAACTTTTTTGTTGTTTGGGAATACTTCTTTAAAAGCAATTCTTTACAGTATATCTTTATAATTCTAGCAAATGTAATTAGGATATAATACTGTATTGGGATTATTTTGCCAACTTTGTTAAATGACTTATTTACAGAAAATCTGACATCTTCTTTGCCTCTATTTTAAGCTTGACATCAAGTGGTTAGAATTTTGAGGAAGTTTGACCAATGATGAAATGATAACTTGGTAGGGCATGCTAACCTAACTGTTAAAAAATGTCTCTTCATAATTTATAATGACAAGCACTTAGGTTTTATTTAACTACACTAATGTATTCTATTTAAATATGTCTAAGTACTTACAGCTTACCTATATCCATAGTATTAACACAGGCTCTTGTCTAAGAGTAATTTGTAACTTTAACCTTATATAATGTTTTAGTTTCGTTATTTCTAGGGATTCTGAATTGCCACTGTATTTTCTCATGTACATGATAATTAGATGAGCTTCTATCCAAGCATGTTCTTGTTTAATGACTGCTGCTGCTTTATAAAGGAGTATTATTGTTTTTCCCACATTCATTTCATATCTTGATAGTCCATAGTTATATATTTTTTATTCCAATAACTGAGAGGATATGTAGTAATTTAAGTTTTATTCAGCCAGATTATAGGGAGGAAGAAGAGAATTTGCACATTAGTTTGATTTATCTTTGTTCAATCTCCTATCTACTGTGTTTGTATTACATATTTATTTTTGTTAAATACAGTTAAGTTTATCTTTAGTCAGGACTGACAATCTTCAGTCCAAACCTCTTGAATAGCTAGGAGTAAAGACTTGACAAACTTCAACTAAGTATTATGGTAAGAATCCCTTAACTGTCACACCTTACCTTAGTGGAAATGAATTAACTAACTTAACACCGAAGAACAGAGTTGTAGAAGAATAAGCAATTTAGGAGAGAATACTGCTTGCCGTACTGGATTTGGGGGGAATTTCCAAGGTCTCTATTACTCACTGACACATGTGAGGAAATCTGTTTGAATCAGTCGTTTCCAGTTGGTTCTTCAGAGTAGATGGTGTTTATCATTATCGAGGCTCTGATATATTGAATATTAATGACAGATGAAAAATAGAATCTCAGTCATTGAGTATGTCTGCCAAAAGAGCTAGTTCCAATTTAAAAGGGTATTAATTTTCATAGAGAGGTAATATTTTTTCTGTGGTATTCCCCATGCTTAATGTACTTTCTAAACTTGAATGTACTTGGACAGAAATCTGTTGTTTTAAATTGAACATTCCTCTGTTCACCCTCTTATTTCATTGAAAACAATATTCCGTGATGTCAGCAGTAAAACAATAGGTATGAAATTGGTGGCTTCTTTGTTTAATAAATATGATTTTTAGGAATTTGACAAAGAACTAATGAGTTGTTTTACTATAAAAGTTATATTGACATGCATAATGCATAGAAAAAAATTCCAGATTTTTAGAGAAGAAAAAATATCTTAAAGGTAATTTAAGAAAATGTAAATGAATGTAATCTAAAATATTTGTGTACTTATCATTTTAAAAATATAAATATTTGAGGTAACTTCAGAATAAAAATGTCACTATGATGTTCTAAAACACACGATTATATAGAAGTTAATCTGCAGAATATGAGATTCATCTTGTTATTTGAATGACTTTTTATCTGTACACCCTAAAGACTATTTCATGATATCTTATTTTGTTAAATAATTGCTAGTTTTCCAAAAGTATATAAGTTTCAAAAGTGAATTTAAAATTTCAAGAAGACTCATAGCCTGACATATCTGCTTTTATATTTTCACTCTTTGTTGCTTATTAAAACTCTAGTTGCATTAATTAATGACTGTTCAGGACTTTGAGAAGCATTAGTCTCCCAATTGTTGAAAGGCTAGTGGTCTGCACTTCTTCTTTCCCTTAACTGTTCAATTCTCAGATATTGACCAGTGGAATAAGGTAATTGAACAACTAGGAACACCATGTCCAGAATTCATGAAGAAATTGCAACCCACAGTAAGAAACTATGTGGAGAATCGGCCCAAGTATGCGGGACTCACCTTCCCCAAGCTCTTCCCAGATTCCCTCTTCCCAGCGGACTCCGAGCACAATAAACTCAAAGGTATGCCCTTCAGGAATGACTTGAGGACGACTATGAGGGTGACGGGTCAAACAAGCACACGGTATAGAGACCTCTCTCTCTTTCTCGTTCTTTCCTTTTATTTTTAGTTGACACATGATAATAGTACATTTTTGTGGGATATAGGGGTTATTTTGAAACGTGTATGGAAGTATAATGGTCAAATCAGAACAATTAGCATAACACATCACCTAAAACATCGATCAATTCTTTAATTGGCACAACCTCAAGTTAAAGAAAGATATTTCTTCGAAGATCGTTCCTACAAAGGGGAGTAGCCACAGATTTTAGAATTGTCTGGATATTCAGGGCAGGGCGCGGTGGCTCAAGCCTGTAATCCCAGCACTTCGGAAGGCCAAGGCGGGCGGATCAAGAGGTCAGGAGATCGAGACAGACCATCCTGGCCAACATGGTGAAACCCCGTCTCTCCTAAAAATACAAAAAAATTAGCTGAAGGTGGTAGCGTGCACCTGTAGTCCCAGCTACTCGGGAGGCTGACGCAGGAGAGTCGCTTGAACCTGGGAGGCAGAGGTTGCAGTGAGCCGAGATCGCACAACTGCACTCCAACCTGGCGATAGAGTGAGGAGACTCCGTCTCAAAAAAAAAAAAAAAAAAAGAACTGTCTGGATATTCAGAGAGAAGTTATTGAATAAAATGTGTGACAATGGTGTGCCCTAAGTATTTCACGGGGAGTTACATAGAATCTTAAAATTATTTATTAAAATATAACTCTAAAAAACCAACATAATACACATTGAAATCATTGTTCCAATCCTTTTTATTGCCTGGAAAATATTTTCAATACAAGGTTTAGTTGTAAAATCTTGGAGATGCAGGTGTCTGAACTTCTTTTTCTATAATTTATGGAGTGCTTAAATTTTTTCATTTTAAAATAGGGAATGAGATTTTACGTACATATTTTTATTCAATATAAACACTTCCATTAATAAGTCATTTTTTTCTGTCATGTTGTTGGCAGTTAATATACTTGAGTAACAAATATCTTCACCAACAGAATTGACTTAATAATGCCTCAGTCTAATTTGGAGACATGGAATAAATTTGGCAATGCATAAAGTGTAATATAAATAATACTCAAATTCTTGTAATTTAGAACACTCCTAAAAATCTTATTTTGAAATAAATCTGACTGTTTTCCCCCGCCTCGTTTCAAATTTGCCCTATGCCTTAAAATCTGTGTGACCCTGAGCAAGTTACCTAATTTTTCTTTCCTTGTTTTAACAAATGAACGTAGAGAAAACCCACCTTATAGGGCTGTTGGGAGGATTAATTGACTTAATAATTTGTCAAACACTTAGAGCAGTGCCTGGCTCACTGTGGATGCTCAGTAACTGTTAAATATAATAAAATAATAATTTAAAAATGTACCTGTAAATTATCAAAAAAGAAAAACTTAAGATACATGCTTTTTAAATTTAGCCCTAAATGTTATGTGGACAATTAATTATCTGCAGACTTAACTTACAAACTTAATGTGTATAGCTAAGGAAGACTTAAATGAGATGAGGAAGCTAAAATGTGGTGCCACTGTTTTCCAGGATGTTTTCATATCCTCTAAACTTTTTATCTAATGGGTTTTAAATGTGCAACACTGTTTCTGTGCTCTTGACACATATTACACAGTTGGATTTCTTCCTTCAATTGCCTCTATAGACTCTCTTACTGACAATGGACTAAATTATTTCTAAATCTACTGCTGATAAGATCAACATTGCCTATATCCAGATTGAAAAAGAGCTAATACTCCAATTAAAGATCTTATAGAAATCATGTCTTTGTAATACTATTGAGATATCAAGCAAAAGTAATCCCTTCTTTTGAAGACACTTGCAGCAATACAGAGACAACAAAGTTCTCATTAAACTACTGTATGAAATCACAATAAAAAGGCTATTAAGATATACTTCATAATGTAATTCCAATTTTCTTGAGTTTACTTTTTAAATCAATTTGAATTTCTGCAATTATTTTTGTAAATGATAAACTAGTTTGCATATTCGATTATTGATTTTAATTTTAAATATAAAATTGAAAATCTATAAATAATCTTAATATACAAATAACCAAAGAGAATAATGTATTCTACTGTGTTTGGAAAAGCATAACACATTTGCTTTCAAATGATAGAATGAAAGATAAAGCATTGAAACATTTTTCCATATTGTTTCCTAAAAATAGTATTGATTATTGTTTCTTAGCAAGATGATTTGGTATTGGTATAGTTCATGACCCTATTCATGAATAGCCCATTCTAACCCCAGTCCTTTCTCTTCTTTTTTTCTTTTCGAGACAGAGTCTCTCTCTGTTGCCCCGGCTGAGCTATCTAGGCTCACTGCAAGCTCCGCCTCCTGGGTTCACTCCATTCTCCTGCCTCAGCCTCCCGAGTAGCTGGGACTATAGGCGCCCGCCACCAAGCCCAGCTAATTTTTGTATTTTTAGTAGAGATGGGGTTTCACCGTGGTAGCCAGGATGGTCTCCATCTCCTGACCTCGTGATCTGCCTGCCTCAGCCTCCCAAAGTGCTGGGATTGCAGATGTGAGCCACCACCGCACCCGACTAACCCCAGCCCTTTCTAAGAGCAGAAAAATGGACAGATTTGATGAGAGAATCCATGAGAATGGTACATGAATTTGGATGTAAAATCAGTTACAAATTAAAGAGATCTTTAAAGCAATGAATAAATAAACACAGCCCTGTTAGGCTATTAGGAGGCCATTGGCAATGAGAAAAATTAAATATTGAATTAATGTATAAGTATTTCTGTATTTTTGTTGTTCTTGTGCAGTTCAGAGTTTTAATTTGAAAGTAATGATAATAAGTTTCTAGGATTGAGTTTCCCAGAAAAATGGATAATAGAAATAAAAAGTTCTCAAGGTTGATTTAACTAGTGATTTTTCATATTTGTTCAGAAAATTAAAAGATATATTTATTCATGTAATTACTAAAAGAAAATACCTACAGGTAAAAAATTAATTACTACATTTTAACTGTAGTATGGTTAATATGTGAAAAATACATGAACAGCACTAGAAAAAATATGCCAATAATCACAGTCATTGCCTCTAACTAGTGGGGTTAGATATTATTTCCTGATTTTTATATTTTATGTAATTTTCAAATTTGTAGAATTAGTCAAATTGTCTTAATCTGAAAAACTGATTAAATAAAAATTGATACATATCCACAGTCATCTATGTTGATTTTTTGAAAAATCCATTTAAATTTTGTTCTCTTTAATTTGATGTTTTACCATATATTTAGAATAAACTGAATATTTTCACCATTCAACTTTCAAATCAGTTGAGTAACAATATTGATTTGAGATATTCATTTCTGTTAAAACTTTTTGTAAAAGCCTGGGGGAGGGATAGTATTAGGAGAAACACCTAATGTAGATGACAGGTTGATGGGTGCAGCAAACCACCGTGGCACGTGTATACCTATGTAACATGTGTATACCTATGTATAACTATGTGCACGTTGTGCACATGAATCCCAGAACTTAAAGTATAATAATAAAAAATGTACATGTTTTTAGAGGTTAAAATTAATGTGTCTTTTAATAATGTTATTAAATAAATATGCTATCACCATATAATTTTATAACTGTTACTGCCCACAACCATAAAATTAATTATGATAGCATTTACATAATATAGAGTTTTTCTTTAGTGTCTGGTGTAGCATTAGACTGGCTTCAGTCTTTAGCTGCTGGATTTCATCAAGTCATGACTTCCATTTATTTAATTCCATTGATTAAAAATACCTGATGATTACAGAATGTTAAAATAAAATTCAGTAATTGAATGGTTTTTTTTCTATCACATCAATTCTTTGGTTGTTTTTATGTATATAAGAAATTTGTGGCTGGGAGCAGTGGCTCATTCCTTTAATCCCAGCATTTTGGGAGGCTGAGGTGGGAGGATCCTTTGAGCCCAGAGCTCGAGATCAGCTTGGGCAATGTAGGGAGACCTTATCTTTACAAAAAATAAGAAAAAATAGCCGGGCATGGTGGTGCATGCCTGTAGTTCCAGTTACTCAGGAAGCTGAGATGGGAGGATCCTTTGAGCCCAGGAGTTACAGGCTGCAGTGAGCTGTGATCATTCCACTGCACTCCAGCCTGGCAACAGAGGGATACCCTGTCTCAAAAAATACATAAACAAACAAACAAACAAACAAAAAGAAAAAGAAAAGAAATTTGTATGATACAAACTCTTAAGTCAATTTGTATACTAAAATCCTGATAATTCCATTGTATGAATGAGAATATAAAGACACATGTGTTGATTAACTTCAAACAGCTGTCCAGACATTTGTTGAATATCATGCATTTGCACTCTGTGCTCTTTGTGCTGTTTATCCCATATTCATACAGGTTACCAAAGAAGATGATTTTGCTTACATAAACTCTCCAGGTTGATACATTTTACTTAGAAGTTTGAGTGAATAATTATATACTCAAAGTGTTATAACCCTTGGAGAGCCTCAGAATGAAGCCTTAGGCTTAGAGACCCAAAGAAACAGGTGTAAAATGCATTTTCTTTTCCATCACATCAAGGGATTTACCTGATGTTTGGAAGGAAGATACTATCCCATACTTTATTTTCTTAATTTCCTCTCTGTCCAACAAATTTCCTTACTGAAATCAAAATCTTACTAGTTGTTTCTCTCATTTATTGTTTCAGCCAGCCAAGCCAGGGACTTGTTGTCAAAGATGCTAGTGATTGACCCAGCAAAAAGAATATCAGTGGACGACGCCTTACAGCATCCCTACATCAACGTCTGGTATGACCCAGCCGAAGTGGAGGCGGTAAGATAGGCTGCCTTTACTTTACTTCCACAAACAAATCATAGCTCATAGCAAAACACTGAGTAGAACTAGAAGCCAAAAGAATGCACAATGGATTTTTATAATTTCTAAGTCCAACGTTTGTTATCTGCCCCTCTAAAAGCTATTTTCTTCAACATATGTTTTAAATACTTTTCAGGACTTACTAGAAGAGGGTATGATTTAGTCCAACAAGCCTTAGGGGTCCATGACACACTACCATTTGTTTCTGTTAAATTGCCAACACTTGTGGTTCTTCTTGTGTATTTGACTGCCAGCCTCTTCTAATGCAAACTTAGTGGTAGGAAATAACAGAGGACAAGTTGCTTAGCTTGTATTTTTTTTGAAGATACCTGCCACTAGTAAAATGTGATACTTAAGACTATTTCAATTAGAAAGCTTTTATAAGACCATTGGTGGCTTTGTGAAACCTTGAGTGAACTAGATAAACTAGAAGTGGGTATTTCAGTAAGTAGATTACTTCAGGTTGATCAGTATGATGTATCTCCGTGTCTTATACCCAGACATGGAAAATCTTCTCAGAAGTGTAACTATTTTAAAATTATTTTTCAAGCATTTAATATCTTCTATTCAACCTCTTTCTTTCATCTTTACCTCTCCTTTCCTCTGTATGGATCCAGGCAGGGCAAGGGGGGCTTGCTGTTGCCCATGTGTGTTCTATAGGCCTCCTGATGAGAATTTCCTTTCTGTACCACCTTTAAATGTTCCTATCAGCCATGTTACCTTCTCCCATAAACATGAGGAACTTCTCAAATTCTTAGAGTACCTGTGCTAAATAATCTCATTTTCCTTTACATAATACCTTCAAATCCATTTGTTTGAATTTGTTCTTAATCTTTCATTTGAAATGCTGTTTGTTTCCCCCAAGGTATTCCTGAGGATATTTTCACTTTCCTTCAGTTTTCTTTCCTCTGCTTCACCATGTGTTTTTCCACATCAGAGGTGCTAGATTCAAACACATAATTCTCATTTCTTCATTCTTCACTAGAGAAGATATGAAAGATGGCAGTGAGGACTAGGTAGAATTGAACCTTACAGACACAATATTCAACAGGTCCTTTTCATAATGTAACCCAATCTTTAAGCATTTACAAACTTCGGGGAAAACACTTACGTGGTTAATGAGTCTCCCAAGTGTGGAAACCGAGGTGTAACCATCATGTACTACATTTTTTTTTTTTTTTGAGACCGAGTCTCGCTCTGTCGCCCAGGCTGGAGTGCTGTGGCGCTATCTCGGCTCACTGCAAGCTCCGCCTCCCGGGTTCACGCCATTCTCCTGCCTCAGCCTCCCGAGTAGCTGGGACTACAGGCGCCCACCACCTCGCCCGGCTTTTTTGTATTTTTAGTAGAGACGGGGTTTCACCCTGTTAGCCAGGATGATCTCGATCTCCTGACCTTGTGATCCGCCCGCCTCGGCCTCCCAGAGTGCTGGGATTACAGGCGTGAGCCACCGCGCCCGGCTACATTTTTTTTTAAAGATCTGCTCTCTTAATTAGTTTTACAATGATGTTGAAATTTCGTTTTGCCTCAAGTTAATTTTTAGTCATTTTATTTGATTCGTAAGAAATAAAATCCCTACAATTAAATATTTCTGAGTTTAATTATAATGTTCTAAAAATTAATATATATTCTTACAACCAAAATATAGAACCTCCTCCAGTCTCTTACACTTGGGAAATACTTGCAAAGATGTTCTTGGGGTAGAATGAAGTAATGAAGTAAGTGAGAGAAAGTATGATGTATATGTATATGAAAATTAAGTATAAAAATTTTATCTCTGATGAAATTAAAGAAAGTATTTTAGGTTATGTTGATAAAAATTTTACATAAATATATGTATTATCTGAAATTGTTTCTCCTCATTTATTTTGAGGCATATTAACTTATGCCTCATTATGTGGCATATTTATTCATATTTATTTTTTCTTACACCTAACTTAATGCGTATACTCTGTTTTTAATGGGTTGTGGCCTAGAGTTTAATTAGAGTCATAAAGTCTGCATTTGTAATTCACTTGTAATTATGTTGCCTATAAAAGAGATAGTTGCTTGGAATCTATAACAACATTTTACTGAATAGTATCAATTTGTTTTAAATTTTAACTTTTTATTAAAAAATTCTTTGTAGAATGAAAAGATAAAATTTAAGATACTAAAATAGTTGGAGCCTTTTTCTTAACTACTTTGACATTGACATGCTGGGGCATGGATAGCAACAAGGCGGGATGTATGAATTTTAGGGGAAGGATCTGATAGAGCCTGCAGGTCCAGCAAAAGAAGTCAGTTAATACACAGAACAAGCAAGTATTTGACATCTAAGCTGGGATCACTGATTTTACAAGGGCAAACATGTCTTACATCTAGACATGTTGTAGTGAAGAGATGGGAATCCTGATCCTAGGGCAAGAACAATTTATTACTTTATGAAGTGCATTACAGTGGTCACAACTAAGAGGAGACACATCCTGAAGGTGCTAGAATCCCTAGTCAGCTATGCTTTCTGCAGTATCCTTAGAATTCACATCTCTGTTACACATGTTGCATATGAACATGTGTTTAAAATAAGATGACCTTTCTCTATGGACACGTGGCAAAGCTATAATAGAGTGACATATCTTCTGCCAAGGATGACAAGACTGTTTTGCAAAATATACCCCTGTATGTCTTTATAATCCAAATAAATGGAAGAATCAAATAATTGGAATTTTTATTCTGATCAAAGAGCTTTCAAGTAACTCTCATGCTGGTAGGGAGGGAAGGAAATTCAAAGGTGAGAGAGAAGAAAAATAAGTTTCATTGGATGGAAATAATGGCAAGTGGACAGGGGATAAAGAACAAACTGTGATAAGGTGATGTTTAGAGGAAAAGTGGAAAGAGTATAGATATGCTATGTGTACGAAGCTATTAGTTATACTACGAGCTATCTTATTATGTTTCCAAAACTACCAAAGTACAAAAATCAAAAGAGAAGAGCATATGAATGAATGTTGTCATAATTCTAAAAGGTAAAATTAGTCATGCACACATGAGTTTGAAAATTTTAAAAACTGGATGCTAAGCTGGAGTAATTCATCTATGTAGTAATAGTACATAAATATTTTGAAATAACTGCTCAAATTATTAGCAAGTTCTTATTCAAATAATGTTTAGAGTAAAAAAGTGTGGTTTCAAAGTAGAACACATAAGTCACATATAATGTCAATGCTTTTTCATGAAACAAGTAGAAGGTGCTCTAATTATGGTTCAGTATTCATCAAGAGGGCAAATATATTATACACAAATGTACTTGGTTGAGTTATTTGCATCTTCATAGGTACGAAAGATGAGTTAGGTTTAAATTTCTGTTCTGCCCATTACTAATTTGCTTTAATCAAGTTTCTTAACCTTTCTGCAATTCAGTTTTCTAAACTAAGAAAGTTCTCCCTTCTTATCATATGTACAGCATAGCATTCTGAGATTTTGAAGAGTTAATGTGCATGAAGTGCTTAGCAAGTGCTTGGCAGTCAGTAAGAATCATATAAATTATTCTTACCCTTATAATACTTATAATTACTATCACTATTATGACTTTTACATGCATAGCTTTACTACCTTTTGATATTTGAAAAAGATATATGTGTCTGGTGAAAAAGACCAGCTGGCCAAGAAATTGCAGAAATATTCCACAACCTTTCTTTTTCGAATAATGGTGATGATGATCTAGTTCCCACATGATTTTAGGTCCATTTTTTTCTTTTTCTTTTGTTTAATGTATACCTACCTCTTCTTTGCCAGGTTGAAGAGAATCTAATGTCATTAGTTTAAACCAAAATAAAGACACATTATAGAGTCCACAGATCCTGATTATCATTATCTTTACTTTGGGAAAAGTAGATTTTTGGGTTTGTTTGGGGGAACTCGGTTTAATATCTTCCTTGTGCCCTGTTGGAAGAAAACACAATGTTTATGAAGCTTTGTTGCCTTATCTCTTATCAGATTATTGAGTTTAGGCACCCTGCTAGGATCCAGTGGTGGCTTCACCTCTGAGAGTGGGGCTACAGAGAACCCTTAAGGAGCATCTGGGTGAACTCCAAGCTAAGTAAGAGTTGATTAACTATTTCTCAGGGCACAGAAGAAGGGGATTTATGAGGAACATAAGCTGTAACTATTTTTAAAAAGAGTTTTATTTCTGCCAGAAATTTCAGAGCACTTCAAGAAAGCTCCTGAGTGCAACAGCCTTACAAAAGGCTCCATTTTGTAGTTCTTGTTCCTTGCAAGGGCATAGGGAGAGGGAGCAGGAGAGGGAGATAGATGTGAGTTCAGCCAAAACCAAATACATCAAAACTCAAATAAATCATTATGAAGAAGCTTAATACAAACATATGGAGTCAGAGAACACTTCATGATTCCTCAATTCTTGACTAAAAGGAAGGAGCTAGACTTGAAACCATCCCCTAAGATGGGACAGGCACTGGGGCTAAGCTTCATGGCCAGTGGTGATCAACCAGATAGACCATTGTGTTGAAGGCTCTGTTTCAGAGAGAACAGTTCTTAGTGGCTGAAACCTTACTCTGGGAATCAGGGCAGAGAGGCAGGTAGAGCTGCTTGGGCCACTGGCATTTTGAAATTCTTTTCTCTAGTAGGTGAACCTGGGGTACTTGAGAACCCAGAGGACAGCTGGCAGGAAACATAGGACTTTCTGTGTGGCAGCCAAATGAAAGTTCCAGAAGAGAATGCTGTAAATGAGGCCTGGAAATGGTACTCCAGCTATAATGGAGACCACAGAAAGAGTGGACATGTTTTGTTTGGAAGTCTAAGGACACACGACATCCTCAACTAGACTAAGAGAAAAGATATAACTAATTCAACCAGTTTGGCTGGAAGATGATTTGGTAAACAGGACCAGTGCTAAGCTTGCTTGTTATTTTTTACCTAACTCAAGATTAATTTGGGAATTGGGACAGGGTTGGGTGGGAATTTAA